GAGTCACGTAACAAAGTATCGAGTAAAGCCGAAAACAGGGCATATTCACGTAATCCGGCTCCTTCTCATGTACGAAATTTCTGCTTTCACGGCCGGAAACGCTTCATTTTGCTGTCACTTTTGCGGCCGGAGAGTCGCGCTTTTAAAAATAATTACGGCGCACACGGGGTGTGTCGACGTGCGTACGATCGCATAACATCTCTGCGCGTGTGCAGCGGGGCAATCTTCCTTTCTCCCTTCCGGCCTGCCCCACGCACGGCGCGGAAAGCGCCTCGCGTCGTGGGGAGAATCGTAAACGTTAATCTCGATTAAGTGACTACGTTAATTCTGATTAACACTAATTATCTCCTGCGATCATCGATAGCGTGACTGATACGTGACGACGGCGGGACGGCTTTTGCCCGTGTAAAAATAAAAGATCGAAGAAATCGGAGCGCGGTGTACTAGCCGAGCACGACGCTCTTCATTAATGCAAACGAGCCCAGCTGCGTTCTCGGCCGTTAGTCGCGTGATTATCTAGAAAATATAAGAAAGTTCCCTTTTCACCTAATAATCAGCGTCTTCGTGGCGAGGGAGGAAAAAAATAGAGAAGATGAAGTCGGTGTACATCTGTCGACCAAATGTCAGGTAATTCCAGAGAGACAGAGAGAGAGAGAAAGATAAGGAAAAAGAAAGACTGACACTTTCGTCTTTCCTAAATGTTATTATTAAATCTTATCTCACGTTAGTCAAACACTCGCTTGGTCATAGCTTATCGCGCATACAAAGTACATAGTATACGATTTTTATTCGAGTATTATACAAGCAAAAAAAAAAAGAAAAATTATTACAAAAAGTGTATAACACTGACGATTTGAACAAAAAATAATAGACATGTCACTCGACAAATATTTCCTGTTGATAAAATTGAGATATTTCGTGAAGAGAGAGAAAGAGAAAGACAGAGGCAGAGAGTAGGTTACACTCGACGCGCATGGCCATAGAACTTTGAACTCGTGAACATGAGATAAAATCATGTTTACCGGGTACCTTGCCTAAGATTCTCCGATGCGTCGTAAAAACTACGCAGGATTCTCTGTCTCTCTCTCTCTCTCTCTTCCTCCATCGCCGCTTTTTCCTCCTCGTGCTTTTCACGAGGACGCGTTAACGATGATGCGGAGCCTAGTAACACAATTTCATCGGTGACACAAATCTTCTGTTTCTGTAGAAAATCCTGCCTGGCATAATGTAGGATCATTGTGAGACCACGCGCCGCACGTGTTTGCGGACAATATGTAGAGCCACGCCTTTCCCTCTTTCTTCCTTCTTTCTCTTTTTTGGTGAATTTTCTACGACTTCGAGAGAGGAACGGTTATGTATACACCGTACATCACGCGTCCGCACATTTTTCGCGTATCTTTGTTGCTTAGCTTTACGAGGCTAAAAACAATCTCTTGAACGCGTACCACGAAATTTAAGTATGACTAAGAAAGTGGCTACTTGAGATTATATCAGCATGAAAAAAATACATAGAAAATATAAGCTCTTGAATGAGGACACAAGACACGTGAAAATATTTAAGTTTTAAATTATTTTAAAAATAATTTTTTTTTTTAACTCAAAAATAGATACATTCTAAAGATATATATTTTTATAAAAAATTGTATAAAAAGTGTGAATATATAAATAATATTTACATAAATCTAAAAAATTTTCGAGAGATTTATTTGAGTTAGAATTGCAAGTTTCAAGAAAGTCAGATAGGCAGAAACGAGATTTAAAAAAATTAATAATCGTGAGTGATTCTATGCTAGGATAGCGCACGATCGCTTCATGCGCTCTACAATTCCTGGAAGCTGCAATTACATATTTTTCTTTTGTTTTTTTTGTTTTTTTTTTCATTCCCTTCGTGAGTCGAGTTCCCTCTCGAAGTCACGCGGTGCACAAGCTAACGACCTGGATAACCGGCCATGATATTTCCAAAGTAACGTCATCGTTGGCCACGATACGACGCGAGGCGACGGGTCTGGCGACAGAGGCACTCATTACAACTTCCGGTCCAGGAGAGCCGCGCGAGCGAGGAAGAAAGACGTATGCGATCGACAGCCGGGAAAAGAGAGAGAGAACCGACAACAACGGCGAGGGAGAGAGGAAGAGGCCGAGAGAGATAATGCGAGAACGAGAGGAGAAAGAGGAGGTGGGAGGAGGCGAAGAGAGGCACGGCGAGCGAAAATGCTCAACAAATAGCCACATCCTCATAATGGAACGGCGTATCAAACTCATTAGACGTCATCATTGAATCGACACGATTACGTTCCACAAAAAAGTCGCGATCTCTCTCGCGGTGGCAACGAACGAACCAAGTTGAACGAAAAATAGAGCCGACCACGCTGGCGCAGGCAATGATTCATGCCAGGTATATGTCAAACTGGTTTTCGTTGGTAGTATAAAAAATTCGTCGCTATCTACGGGACACAATGTAACATAATAGAGAAAGGTTCGGATATGTACACTTCTTATCTTCTACCTATCTAAATTCTATTTTAATTTTCCCTTCGGGTGTTGCAACGAAAATATTAGAATTCTGAACAAGTTTTTCGAAAACATTCCTCCCTGTACTTTGGTATACCGAGGGGAAAAAAAACAAAGCAAAAGAAAAAGGAAAAAGAATACGGTAATCCGAGTCAGCGTACAACGGCTTCGTTTCATTCACGAGAGCCGATCAATGGTCGCACCGGACGCGCGACGCAAACGCATTGCGCAAAAGTGCATTTTGTTTTCCCGCAGAATACACGTCGCACCGTTGCACACGAAACTCCTAAATTCGCGAATTAAATGCACGAATCGAGTTACCATTCCGTAGAAGTTGCACCGCTTTCGAAATAAATGACTGCGCTAACCTCGAGTGACGTTTCTCACGACGACACATCGACATTGCGATTGAAAAACACGCGCGAGCGCCAAACGGAAGACAGAATGAGCACGTACGCGGCGCGACTCGAGGCGAGCGTGCGGAATTTCAACCGCGGCTCTCGGGAGACATCATTCCGAGGCCCTAATGTGTTGTATCGCGCGGTCAGTATTAGCATCCGCCGGGACGACGACCGCGACGTAGCCGAGCGTACGGCTTCCTTCCTGACTTGCCTTCTACAAGACCCGTGTACGATTACCGAACTCCGATTACCAGCGCGATGATACGCACGAATTCGACGATCGATATCTCTATCGGCTGACTCTTCGATTCGTTCGTTTTCGCAAAACTCGCGCGTAGACGCGCGCAGTGTGTGTGTGTGTGTGTGTGTGTGTGTGAATGCATCGCGCGCACACACACAGGTACATCTCGCCGGTTCTCCGAACGGTATTGATCGCCGCTGACAGACGTTAAGATTTAAATGGCAAGGCCACGTGCCGCGCCGTTGTCTGAATTTCTAAACATTCCGCCGCGAACGAAACACGCGCGCGAACTTGGACGCTGGCGGCAACGACGACGATATCGCCGCGACAATGGGATCCGCCGCGATCGACCGAAAAGCGATTCGCTTAATAGAGCACGGAGAGATCCCTATCGTTCGCTCGCGTCGCGCGATTAGAGATAGCACCGAATATACGTTCCTATTAACGAAATACCTCCTTCGGCTGCGCGGTAAGTGGTCTACGACACTTCCTGACCTCGAATACATTGTGTAAACACGATGAGCGAGACATGCGATAAACATTACGAAGCTAAATGACGTTACGGGAACGATAAGCCTATCGAAGCACCGAAACGCTGCCGCTCAGGGCTCTCCTTCGTCGCTCGGCAATTTGCAAACTGCAACGTCGCTTTCAACGACGGTGACGCGCGTTCTTTAAAAATAATCATATCGCCATCGCCCTATTTCACTTATCTAAGGAAGGGCCATTTAAAAGTAATTACCGTTATTATTCACTTCCGGCCACTACGAAGTGCAACTATTTCGGACATTTTACTCGGAAAGCAACGTGGCGGAACAAAAAAGCAGAGGTGCGCGCGCGCGCGCGGGCGAGAGGGAATATCGTCGGCATGAAGAAAGGAAACGACGGGACGAATTAACCATTTCGCGGAACGGTGGCCAGTCTTTCAAGGTTGGAGATCGAGAAAGAAAGAGTTATCGGTCTCGAGCATGCAATGCAGAACATAACGCGTCTTTATTTATTGAGACACGCGCGCGCGCGCGCGCACGTCCAAACGTATCGTATCACATCGTATCGTATCATGCGATAAAATCGTAAACACTTTTCCGTGACAACATCGTCACCGTTGACTGCGACAGACAGAAGAGCAAGAAAGCGAGCGAGAGAGAGAAAAAAAGAGAGAGAGCGCGAAAAAAGTAGGAAGCCGTAACAACCGCGACCTACGACATAGTTTAGGGTGGAAGGGAGGGAGGTGGAGGACCGGCTCTTCCGTCCTCGTCCTTTCGCGCGAGCGCCCGCGCGAAACAGAATTCGAACGTAAATTGGTTTAATTGCTCCATCGCACCCGGTATCAAGTTTCCCGCAGCGTGCGTACGCGTTTTACGGCCGTGCCAATGAACTGTCAGTGGCGCTATATACTCGCGCGCGGCTCCGCCAACCGGGACGGGACGTGTGCGAGCGAAGAAAGACGACGGAAGGAAAAAAAAAAAGAGATAAAAAAAGAAACAATGCGACGCTACTTGGCATCGCGACGCGTTTCAGAAAAGCAACGAGAGAGACTTCGAGTCGCCCCAGCGCAACGGCGACGATAAAGATGCGCTTTCTCATCACTTCGTTTATCTGCCAAATGTCGCAATTACAACCGAGATAATAGCACTAATACTCTTTTTTATACTCGAACAACAATGTGATTTTATTCATTTCATTATTATCCAAGCGGAAGATTTTGCAACTTTTGTCGCCGCGGAAACAATCGGCCGAATGAAAATTGGACCGGTGAAATAAAGTTTCGGCCGATAAACACGTGGTTGAGAGTAAGAAGGCGAGGCGCGAAGAAGCGCGTAAAATTTTGCGGAAGAGAAACTTACCCTGTCGGCCGACGATCTCCGCCACGTGTTCGCTGCTGGGCACCGGCACGCACTCGGTCATGTTCTGGCTCTTCTTAGAACGCGCCTCCTCGAAGACAGCAGGCGTGTTTTGCAGTGGATCCGGATCATTGGTGGTGCCGTTGCCGGTACCGGCGCCGGGGCATCCTGATGAGCCCTCCAGGCCGAGCATCGAGAGCTCGAAGGCGAGCTGAAGAGCGCGTTGATCCTCGATGGCACCGGCGCCGCCGCCGTTCGTGCCACGGTCCATCTCGCTGAATAAACTCGTCGGCATTTTGCTCGACTGTAAATCTCGTGCAACACTGATCAAGACGTTGGACGATGACGCTCGCTGGAAACGTCGCGACAGAGTCCACGCTGCTGTTATTCACAGTGTACGACGCTGGCGTCGATTTCTTCTCTGCTCCGTCGTCCCTTCTTTATCGAACAAACGAGCGGAACGTCCTGCGGAACGGTTCGCGCCGCTCTGACGACGATGATCGAGGAACTACGATAATAGTACGCACGCGGCGACGACGATGACGACGCCAACGATGGCGACACAACGTTGAGGATGGCGAGAATGAAATAACTTCCACCGACACGACAAACCGCGACGCAGCAGCGACGTGATCACGACGACCGATTACGTAGTACGCGTAAAAAAATGAAGAATTCAAGAACACCGACGCACAGCGCGAAGGTAATGCAGTCGGCTCGTTTTCGATGATTCGTAAGTTGCTTCACTACGGTCCTTTTTCTCGCGGACGTACGGTCCCGACGATAAATGCGGAGTGGTAGTCAGTCGCTCGTTTCTCCTCACACTGGAAACGCACGCGGGGCTGCGTGTGTTGTAATGTCGTATCGCGCACACCGGCAACGAAAATGGCCTTCTCGATATCCCCACTGCTCTCTAGTCTCCGTCGGACGCGTGCGGTTCGTGTTCAAGAGCGTCCTACAGTCGATGCTCTCTCGCACGTTACTCGTACAGTTGTGTGCCTTCGACCGATGCTTTCGTTCGTTCGTTCCTCCTTCCTCTTCTCTCTCTCTTTCTCTCTCTCTCTCTCTCTCTCTCGCTCCCTTCGCTGTCGCGTTCTCTCTCCGACTACCAACCGGGCGACGTAACGACGTTTCGTGTATCGCGTTGTTCGGCTGCTTCGTCACCGGCCGACTGACTTTAAGCGCCCGAGTGACCGTGTAGTCGTCGCACGAGACTGAAACACTGAAAACGGAGGCAAGGGGCGCGCGCTCGTTCGCACGGTTTCCGCTCCCTTCTTTCCCTTTCTCGCTCGCGATCCTTCTCTTCCTTCACTCCCTCCGCTCTCTCTCGCTCGCCTCTCTTCACCGCGATCTTTCCTTTCGAAGGCAGGCGCGTGCAACTACCCTCTCGCTCGTGTTACCACTGCGACTGACTGCGACGTACTGCGACTGCGGCTGTCGAAGCCGGCGCGCCGCCATGTGCCGGACGCCGGCTATGCACGCAGCCGATTGGCTGGCTGCGTCACGTGGTACACGCCACCCTTCCCCACTTTTCGGCGCGCGACGCATAGGCGCTAGCGCACCTACCGGCACAATACAGCGGCACCGCGGCCGGCGCAACGTGAGTGAGTGAGCGAGCGAACGAGGGAACGAACGAGCAAGCGACGTCGCATTTCGTTCTTCGGCTCCTTCGGCGCTACGGATGCGTGCACTCCCGTCCCCGATTGTACTCCACGCAACCCCCTCCATTCGTGTATCCGTCCGAACCTTCGCGAAGTTTCCCTATGGAAACGCCGCCATCCATCCGTCCGTCCGTCCGAACGTGCGCTCTATTCCACCGATTTTCTGGAGCGGCAAACTCCGACCCGGGAAAAACGCCGTCCTGTCTTCTTCTTCGCGGCTCACCGCGATGCCGGCGTTGAAGTAAAACCTCCCAAAGCTGGCCAATATCGATATCTCCCGACGTAGCGTCTAACCGCGTCTTTGAATAGTCCGTAGATGCATACACGAGCTTCGAGATCGCGAAATCGATCCTCCTCGTTCCATTCGAACCGATATCCTGTAAATTTGTTGTAGAATACCAAATACGAATACGATCGAATGTCGCTTTCTAACGTATACAGTTAAAGCGTAAGCTCTCCCGGCGAAATAAATGTCGCCCGCGGCGATATATGATTTTCCCCCGCGAATGTCGAACGGGTCAAAGTGCACCGACCTAGGTGGATCGTATAACGCTCTTTCTTCTCCTCTTCTCCGACGGCCGTCACAAGCTCCGCCGCGCGTATCCGTGCACGAGGTGCACCAACACTTTTCCGCGCCGGTTATCTCTCCATTTTAGCGCGAAGATAAATGCAAGAGAGAAGACGTTTATAGATTCAAAGAAATAATAGCGACTCATCGGTCAGACCGTAAATCGAATCCTCTCGCGTCACCGCTGCAGTCCATTGCGCTATAAATTAACCTATTCAGGATGGAAAATACATGCATTTAGCTTATGAATTCTTACACTGCCATTTCGAAAGAGTTATATAATTTTGTCTCTTTTGTAATTAATTAATAATCTATTTTGCAAAACAATTACCTCAGATAAATGATCATGGTTCGATTAAAAGTGGATAGATTTTCAGCTTTCTCGTGCAAGAATATCTCGACAATTATACATCGATCCAAGTGAAGCATCGTAACAAGTGATGCCAACCTAAAACGAAACGGCTGATGTATCATCATACTTGATCAATCACGTGATCCTCGTGTAGCGACAAAAAATTTCCTACTACTGGTCAGCTGACTAGCTGATCATAGTAGCGCAATAGTTGTATACATACACCACATGATACAGAGTGCGCCGTGTTTATTCATAAATAATGCGCTGCGCTGGATTTTCAAGACGCTACAACTCGGCGAAAAATACTTCTGTACTTCGCATTCTGCAAATTCCTAGACTCATTGTACAGGCTGCTTTTATCACGATTTGCATGTCGCAATAATGTGCAATGCTTGGGTAAAGTATAAAATAATAAATTTAAAAAAATGAATAAAAATATTTTATCAATTACAAAATGTCTTGCGCTGTTATGCTGCTGTATTAAAAGAACTAATGCTATTTCTTTGCCCATATTTAGCAGTATTTAATGATTTACATACCGCATCAAATGAATCCCCGGAGGAAATTTAATGGAGAGAATCTGTACGTTTATCGCTCGCACGATTTACTTAATTGAGATTTTCGCCGAGAGGAACGAGAATCTCTTATGACCTGTCGCGTTAAGTTCCTTGCGATATCGTCCTTGAACCTTGGTGGCGGATGCTTTCAGCATTACCTCTGGTTTATACGTAAGTCGTTCTTGAACGTATGCGATTAATGTTACGATTTAGTCTGCTTAATCTGTTAAGAGGATTTCGAATATTATCTGCTTCAAGCTTATTATTGACCCTAAATTGGACAATGCATTCTGTATTATACATCTCTATTTCCTATCGACCAAAGTTTCGTTTCTCTGCAATTTATATGTAATTGAATGGAATTTCTAAATTTTAAGCACTTAATCTTCTTCCTAATGTTCCACTTAACGTTTCTTAAATTTCGATGCTGAAACGAGAGCTCTAAGTACTTAACTTTAAATTAAAATATAATTTTGTATTTACCGGCATAATACTTTTTTACGTGACATGTATTCTAAAAATGTACGACAACACGTAGGAATTTAACTATGAGCAATCTTGGGAATTTATCGGGTGACAAGCTCATCGCGATACGCCGCTCGGCATGCCTAATCTCGTGGCCGGCGCGGACAAGGTCGTGCAAATGCTCATCGGTCCAATACCTGGTGGTCCCCTAATTCACGAATCACGATCGTGGCCCGACCGACCACCTGCCCGACTAGCGGTTTCGTTAAGTAAGAGTGAAAAAAGGATTCCGTCTCTCTAAACCGATCTGAACGCGCTCGCACGGACCTTGAACCGAGCCGCAAACGTGATCCATTGTTCTCTGCCGACGACCCTTCGTCCTCTCTCCGACCGTGCGTTCTCTCTTGCCTCTCGATTGCTCGATTTTTAGTCGGAGCCTACGCCAGATCGGCCTGTGTCCTCCATTCTCGAGGACAGACGGGTGAAACGACGAGCGCCCGTCAGCGATTTACGAATACTCGCGCGAATCATTGTCTTTTCACGTATCGTGGAGCAATAGCTCGTTAAAGCGCACGATGAACATGTTCCGATGCGATCGCGTAATTCGATAAGAGAGAGAGAGGTCTCTTCTTCGAAACGAGACGTAAAATTTCGTCCGGTTCGGTATCTCGGCAAGCTCTGCCTCAATTCGTTTCGAAGGTGCGACTAATTTTGTTTCTCATCGCATGCCGAAAGCAACGACCCGTGCACTTCGCCTTGCGATCTCTCTTTCTTTCGAACTTCAAGGTTGTCTCGGGACACCAACCACCTTTTGCTACGAGCACCTGCCGACCGCTCGTGCTCCTCGGCTCGCTCATAAATACTTCGGTGTTATCGTACGTATGGGTTTTACAAACTGCTGCCTCCCCGCCACCCTCTCTCTCCACCACGTCCCCTCACACCTCGGATGCAGCACGGCGAAACGCGATCGAACCGACAGGACGGATTTGTTCGCGCGAACACGTCACCGCTCGATTACTAATCGGCCGCGTCGATTAATTCAGAGGAGCGTGGATGATCGATAGTGCCGCCGACCGAGTTTCGAGAATAATTATTCCGAAAAGCTCCCATATTTTTGTACGTACAGCGCCGAATATTAAACTCGCTGCATTCGATTCAATCTCTCCGCTGCATTAAATTTATGAAAAAAGTTATCAAAAATTTCTAAAGTGGAGAATTTAAAGAAAAGTAGAAACAATGGCCGAATTTGTGGGGTTTTTTTTTACTATTACTTAAAAATTGCAATCTTTGAAATAAGATCGCCACGACGCCAAACAACGTCGCAGAGGATGCAGCGGTCCTGTTCTGTTCGACGCCGAAAGGACGCGTCGCATCCGTTTTCTGGTCGGTCGGTGCATTAAACTAACTCCTTCTCGATGTTCCGCGTCGCTCGCCGTATTTTTACAGCGTGCAACCGGTTGCCTTCGTGCAACGTTGCGATCATTGTCGTCGCTTTGGCGAAACCCGGCGACTCCCGTGGCGCGCCGCATCCTCGCCGATGTACATGCGGATAGACGCACCATACGTACACGCGTGTATATAAGGTACGAAGCTGAGCTCCGAGAGCAGCGGAGAGGATATTTCTTTCGATTTCGATCGCCGGGGTGCAGCATCGCCTGAGAAAACCGCATTGCTGGCCTCTGAGTCGGCACCGGCGACGACAACGGCAATAACGACGACGACAACGACGATGACCACGCTGCAAAACCATGCTGCAGTTTGCCTCGACATTGTACAGACATTCGAGTGTGAATTTAACAGCTTCCAAGCTTTTATACAATACAAGTTATTATGAGTAATTAAATAAAATTAACGTAACGTCAATTAAGTAATGCGCTCGCTAGAATAACGTGCACCAGTTAACGATTGTACGGTAATCACACAAAACCTTGGTGAATTGGGCAACTAAACGCAATTCCGCTTTCGCGTTTCTCCGGGCAATCCGGCAGAACTACGATACTAGCGTCGAATTATCTCGCAATGCACGGATATCGATTGGCCGCCTAATGTCTGGTTATCCACAAAATCGCGCGGGTGGTCGGCCACGCTCGCGCACACACGCAGAGGAGGCAAGAGATCTCTATGGCTACCGAAACCGCAGCAGCGGCGTTCATAAGGCTGTTGCACAACGGTGGAAAACACACAAATAGCATGGTTTAACCGATGATAGCGCGGATAAAGTGCAGTGCCTTTCTAAATATACCGGCGCGGGCGCGTTGGTCCATTCGCGGAATGCTGTTTCTTACCGCAGATGCAACACTTGTCACTCGATCAAAGTTACCCCGCGTTACCCGCGCGATGCATCCGCCGTCACGCAAAAGTGCATTCAGCCTTGTGCGCGGGCTCAACTGACCCATTTCATTTCGAATAATACCTATTTACAGCTAAAAACATTATGTACCTGGCAAATCTGAATTAATTTAATTTGTCTCTTATAAAAGCTATGAATAAGAATAGGTTCTGAAAAAAATCCGTTAGAACGTTAGAATTTTAACTTTCACTGACTTAGTGGAATCCGTATTATGACAAGACATTTCGCATAGAATTTTAGAGAAAAAAAAACGAAAATTATTGTTTTAAATGCATTTCATTAACATTAGTTTAAAAAAAATATATGCAAAATCAACGATGTACGATTCTATAAAAGAAATGTAGCTAAAAAAATATAGCTGAAAAGTATCAACGGTAAAATGGTGCTTAAAATTGCTTTTCTAATACCTGCTATTGTTATGCTTAAAACGTGACACGACAGGACGCTAAGATTTATGGTTTTATTTAAGTCAAATCATGGTGATTTAGAACAAGCTGCAATAGTCATAAAAATGAAACATTTCGAGGAACTTTAGGATTTGTATTACAGGTAGAATACTACTTCCTTTGCACCCTACAGCTAGACCTTTAAACAACAAAGCCTTTGTATAAAAAAAGGTTCTGAAAAAAGTCCTACTTAATGGATTCATGCTATGACAAGACATTTCGTATAGAATTTTAGAAAAAAAAGAAAAATTGTTTTCTTATAAGTATAGTAAATTTTTATTACTTTAATCTTCAAAGTGAAATTAAGTGCATTTCATTGATATTAATTTAAAAGAAAATATGCAAAATCAAGATTCTAGAAAAAAAAACGTTGCTCTAAAGAAGCATAAGTCGCATTGGAAGGTCTTTTCGGTTCAATAGATTTTGTCCTACGGATGGTATTTTTCCGTTTCCTTCCTTTTTCCTGCGAAACGAAACGAACAATGGACCGAGCGGAAGCCGTAGCCAGGCTAAAAGATCATACACACCCGCATGTCGAACGGAAATACGAAAAATGCAACCGCCTATTGCCGAAAAATATCAAAATCGCTCATCTTTGACGTTCGTAAAGGAAGACGTTTTTACAACGAGTTATTTTTACAAACAGCTGTAGAGTAAATATTACGTAATTCGCAAACATCAATGAAGCCGCGCTTCAAAGAAACGCACATAATAATTTACGTCTCACACGTTATTGACAAGGTTGATTCGATCGCGCTCACGCAATTGATGAAAGTTTAAATCGGTGGCGAACTAAAAACATTATTTTACAACCGGCTCTCTCGTGTTTTATATAATTATCGTGTCCTTTATGCCGAACGCGAACGCGAGACTGGTATTTTCTGTCTGCGACATCTGAGACGCGGTGAAAATGGAAAGAGCACGAACCGCGCGCGCGATTATAGGCGCGTCCGCTCTCCTCTCCTCTCCTCTCGCGGTGAAGTCCACGAGAGAGAAAGTCTGCCGACATCGATTACGTATAGCAGTTGTTTGGAGTCGAAGGTCCCCCGGTTGTTCTTCCGCGCGATGGACCAACGCCTCCTGCTTTCAGGGGGAGACCCTTGCTAACCACCGACGCAGTTTCCTACGCCGTACGACTTTCGCCGCGCGACGTCAATAATTTCGCTCCAGGTCATACGCGAGATACGTACCTTAATGTCGCGTCGCGCTGTTCCCGCGGAGATAAATCAGAAATACTTCGCGGCCAGTAACCCCGATACAAATAGTATAGTCAAGTCGGTCAACTTCCGATGGTCGAATATACTGCCTGCGCGAAGATCGATAACACGCCATAGCGGAGCGTCTATTTATACGTCGGCTATATTACGTCCAAGACAGCGGAGGATGTAATCTTCGATGTGTTCCAGATAAGGTCTTTACACGCGATGCCGCTGCCGCCGCCGCCGCCGCCGCCGCCGCGTAAATCGGCGTTATGTTATATATATATGCGCATAAACGCGCGTGAAAAAATCTAACGAGGGATAATCGCCGGAGTGTGTAGAATTAAATGCCGCACAAATGAGTATTCGATATCGACACGCCGTCGCGTGTTGGTGCACGCGAAATGCAAAAATCTCCGTAAATTATGCACGCGACAGCGTGGGACTCGGATAGAATTATTTCGGGATGTGTCTCGTGGCAATTTCTATTCCTCATCCGTCACATGATATTCGAATTCATATTCATGCGCGTCATTTATTATACGGGCGGAAATCCAATGGGAGTTAAACTAGATTCTACAGAAATCCATGGCATAGCTAAAACTGCGGATTTTCTCGCGGGGAGAAAAACGGAAACCGGCGTGCGCGAGTACATCTTGTCGGTCGGCTGTAATTATCCGAGATAATCATCGCTAAACCCTTTACAGAAATTAATGGGAAATTATGATAATGCGCTCGATTAATCAGCTTAACACGTAACAATCAATTCGTTCTTATATTTTCTCGCCGAACCGGACGTGGCTTTCGTGCGCGCTAAATTATTACGAGAATTCGCGGTGACGCTATTGATCGCTCAAGATGCAGGACTCAGGGTGCAGGCAGCATCGGCGCGGAGATGGATTTCCCATCGCCGGCGGTGCACCCGGCGTCGTCGCCGGTACCCACGATATCCAGCCGCACCGATTAGACCGGATGGATCGTCGGTCGAGTCATGTGTTCGACGAGTTATAACGATTTAAACTGGGACATGTGCCGGCGACAACGGGCGGTGGAACGTGAACGGCTCTCTCTCCGTTGACAATAAGGGAGAGCGACCCTTGCCGAGGAGGGAAACAGCTGTTAGTCGAAGGTGGAGCGGTACCGGACAGAACGGGGAAGAGGGACGGAGGGTAGGCAGGAAGAAAAAAAGAGGTTACCACCTGGTACCCAGCTTATGCTTACCTGAAAACCGATGCCTGTCTGTATACCTGCTGCCTGAGCATTCTTTTGTGCGAGGCCCCTGGCACGCACTCATTCCCAGAAGGCCGTGCAACATTCGATACACAATCGCACTCGGCACAATATGCGAAGATCGAGAAAAAGGATCTGTGTGGCGCTCAAGAAAATAATTTTAAGCAGAATGGAATTTTTCAGAAACGACTTTCCCCCGCACCGTAGCACTGTCCTTTGGGAATTCTCAAGGGCAGGCAAACAATATGGAACACTGAAAGTGTCCCTCAATAATACTGCGGAGAATGTCGTTAGAACAAAATTTAGAAGATGTGAAGAAAAATCGAGAATTTATTTTTTTGCTCTTTTTTTTATTTTTTAGATCTTCTGAGGTAATTGCCGCAAACTATTTTCCTCAAAATGTTTCTCTTTTCCTTTTTTCTTCGCTAATTACCGTTTCGTGAAAAACATAATTTATGAAATAGGCTATTTCCTGCCGCAACGACGTTCCCGCGCTTAACTCTGAGACAATATTTCAAGACCGGTCAATTCCCGGCTCGTCTCAAGCGCTGAGCTAAGCGCAACGATTTGCATAATTAATGTGAACGATTTGCCAACCCTATTCTTGATTCACCGTTAATAATTTCGGTTCTCGATTAAGCAAGTATTTTCAAAGGATCATCTTTGATTGTTACATTCGAAAGCGTAGCACTTAATTGTTCTTCAACAAACTTAATTTATTTTCGGAGCGACATTTCCGAACCAAATACTACACTTTTGCCATCTGTCAAACATGAACTCGGGAAATTTGGTATTTCCGTGACCAACGCTAACCCTGATCGATTTCCTGCGTGTCACAGGAAATATTTCACAGATGGCAACCCATTTGAACCAGTACTGACCAAATTATCCTTAGCTAATGGAAAGAAAACATTTCGAATCTGGTATTTGTCAAATAGCCAGCTACACGGTCATTTCTTTTACATCTTAATGTGATTTTAATGTGTTGAGAAAGTTTATTGAAACATTTAAAAAAAATTAGTCAGTACTGTGTCTTAAATATTTCGTTAAATTTATCGATCGTTTTTTTCTTTTTTTTTTTACAAAAACTTTGTACAAAAAATGGTATGATATAATTTATGACGAACTTACGACTAAGAGATGAGCGGACGACAATCAAGAGACACGGTAGTGTCTCGCGCCAAGTTCACGCGCAGCGCAAGACCGACCGTGTATCTTTATATACATATACAGCTTACATAATTTAAGTTTGAAGATTACGTAGGGCGTCTTGTAACTTTTTTCTCGCAATAGCAACTCGATCCTCTTGCCTCTTTATGTCCTCGTCTGCTATTGAGACTGCCTAAAACAAATTGAAATCATCGATTTATTAAACATTATATAACATTAAGAAAGTTTTACTTTTATGATATATTGATTTCTATCATTTTGATGATGCTTTCATTTGATTGCAAATTAATATCCAACTATCTCACCTGTACAAGTGGCTGATCAGGATTAAGAAATACACCAGGATTTTTCTCCAAAGCCATTTTTGATCCCGTCTGTCCCGTGACTGGTTGAGTGGATACGTGTAAAGCAGTAGCAACACTTTGAAGCAAGGTTTCTTCTGTGATATACGGGCCTACTGGTTTTAAATTCTTTGGCAGATCCATAGCATCAAATTCGTAACCTTTGGGATCACAGGCTCGCAATCCTTCCAAACGTTTTTCCCAGAAAAGCTGAAAGATAGATATATTTTGGTTAGCAATAATTAATCAATCTACTCGCAGCATGCTTTTTCTATGAATTACATAATACAAGCCAGAAACAAATGTTAGTTCCATTGCATGAAAATTATGTAAAGGTGAATCATGCTTTTATTATATAGACATGTAGTGAATGAGTTTGTTAAATATCAATCAATTTATAATTTAATCCAAAGCAAAATTTAGATAACAAAATTACAAATCTTCTCTTTATTTTCTCCAAAATACTAAGAAGATTGCCTGTCGTTGTTATCATTACCAAAATAAAATAATACAATTAGAAACATTTATCATTAAAAATATAACAAAAAAACAAAATTATTGAAGATTTCATGATTGCATATTCAGAATTACCTGCTTAGGCTTATCTTGGGAGCCATACTTGCCATCAGTTTTATCGGCTCCTTCCTAAAGCAATGATTTGACAATTGTATCACGTAAATTTATAAGGATAGGTATAGCAAAGAATATTAAAAGTGTACGGAGATATATAGACAAAGTGTATCTCACAAGCATGATATAAAAAAGTTAGACAGTGTTCAACATACTGAGAATATTCATAGAATATAGATTGTAAGTGCACAATTGGTAGATATCATTTATAGAAATAATGTGAGACATGGTGTAATAAAAAAATTCAATTCATTTAAATTACACACTAAATAACAGCCCCATTACTACAACCAACTGCACTATAAATTAACCTGTTTTGGTTTCTCCTGAGTACCATGCTTGGTATCCTTTACTTTTCCTTCCTGCGTCTTATAAATTGTTACCGGTTGTTTAAAAATCGATGCTGTTTGCCTGATCGGTGGTACCAACGACGCATCGTTCCTCACTCCACGACTAAAAAGAAAAAAAGTTAGTCAGTTAAGAGAACTCTCGTTGAGGTTAGGATTCCATAACAAATCACTGTATCTATTTGGAAGATATTCTGAATTTTAGAAACAATTAAAAATCTGAGTCGAATAATTCTACGTGAAATGGAATAAAATTTCATTGAAGAATAATTTTATTCAACGAACCTGTAATAATAATCAACCTTCCCTGTAGACGCCAATTGGTTTTGGCTTTTTCTTGACAGTTCTTCCCTCATAGGCCAATTCATCGGCAACGCCGAGGGATATTTCTTTTTCTCCACCGACATATTCATCGTGAACAATTTTTTTTATCACTATACAAACGTTTTCCAAAAAAAATATCACAAATGCACCGTGATATATTTTACCCCTTCACTATCAACCGCGTATCGATGACGTCGCGTTCGGCTAATGGCAGAAAACGAGCGTAGTGGCGCTTACACGTCTGCGTAATAGTAGTAGTCGTAACGTACAGTAAGAAATGCGATTTTCCCACCCCTACCGGGCTGCCGGCTCCCGATCCCCACGCAAGTCAGAAGCGCGTACATGTTCTGCGCAGGTAAAGCAGTGAAAACGTAAGCGGAAAGGCTGCGGAAATCATGTTCACACAAAAGTCTCTCACGACTTACGACGTTTTTCTCTGCCTTACCATATGCCACGACTACGCTACTACGATAGCGTAAGCGCTTATGCCTCGTTTTCTGCCATCAGCCTTTGAACACAAGCGACACAAGACACAAGAGCACAAGTCGATAACACAGTCAATAGTGCATTTTAGTTGCTCCCGTTGCTTCTAGAGCACAGCACATTACGGTGCACACAGGTACATATGCACGAGATATGAAAATATAATTTTCTACCGTAAATATGTATTAAAATAAAATTACAATTACTCTAATTTTATTCTAGCGATACATAAAATATAACAAATTAAATGAAAATAATTACAATAATGGATCAATAATGAGTTCATTTAATAAAGAAATTACTGAAAACATTTTTTTTATTAGAGAAATACAATTAGTATATTATAATTTTTTTATTGCATTTAATATGTTATATGCATATTTTAAACAAAAATTTGATTTTATTCAGCCAATGCAACTTTAACAATTCAAAAATATCTATAATCAAATATAATTATAAACATATAAAATAAATATAAATATAAGAAATCTTAGCAAATATAAATTAACGATATTTATATGAGTTACTAGTATTTATACAACAACTATAAACATGTAAACATATAACAAGCAAACAAAATAATCGCATAAACGCATATATAAATATATAAATAACAAAATTAATATACAAAAATTTTATATTGTTAAATTTTCTTCCATCAAGGAAGATTTGTTCATTTTTTGTCTGTGACGAAATTGAGCAAGAGTCATTTTTTTCCCAAATGGTCCAGCAGTTTCGAATTCAATATCTACGTTATCTTTACTGTAAATATCGCTTTGTGAATCGCTTTGTGAATCGCTTTCCTTTTCCGCTTTCCTTTTATTAATCCTCTTGGTTCCATATTTATATGTTCGTGCCCATCGTCCTTTCTTTTCGCATGTTTTTCTATCTAATGAGCCTCGAATGCGCATCTTTCCCGGAGGGATCGGATCATCTTCATCAGATTCAAATAGTTGTCTAGAAACTTTTGTTTTCAGGTTTTGAGAAGCTGAAAGCTCCTTTCTTTTCGTGAACGGTCTTGGCGGGGGTAGAGGTGTAGATGTCACAAATTCATTTTTTGAGTCATACTCATAGTATCCGAGAATCGCACACCAAAGCTTACCATGCTTTTTTCTTACTTCTCTCGCCGTTAGATATGTTTTAACATTGCTCTCGCGATCTAAAAACAATTTTTTACATAATTCCATACATCTGCATAAATAAATTAACAAAAGATTATAACGAAAGAATGAGGAACTAAATATAATTTCAAAATTATGTTGCAAGCATTATTTAACTATGCTCTGTAAAATCGGCAAACTAAGACAAACGAGTGGTGATAAACTAAAACAAATCTGATGATAAAAAACTAAGAAATATAAACGCGCGATTATCAATTGCAATTAAATTTGAGAATCGTTATATTTATCTCCGAAGAGAAAAATATTACTCTATGTAAAAGATACATACGTAAAGTTATTTCATCTTCGTTCTCTCGACGATCTCGCTCCTTCATCAATGATAAATCAATCGGTAGCAAGTTATCATGCTGTGTATTTTTTTCTAAATACAATCTCCTAGATCTCTCAATAATTGGTGATGACAAAGATTCGAACGCGATCCCTTCCCGAGTCATTTCCGGGGTACGCGTTAAATCTTCGAATAATTTTATGTTCTCAGTATTATCATGTTTTTTTGGTGTAGAACTTGCTAAAGACTTGTCAGTTTCCTCCTCCACAGTTTCCCACTCACTCTGTTCCAATATTGTAGTCGATATCGACGATTGAGACAAAAAATGTATTCGCCTGTTTTTACTTACTCTTTTGTTCTTCCTCTCATTTTTCTGTTGACTTTCTATCACATTTGTTTCTGTCAAGAATATTTTAAAATGTTTATCGATACAACCTCAACAGTTTAATTCAGAGAACATTAAAATATAAATATGCTTGAAAGACTTCATTAAACTCTAAAGATGTATGATAAAAGGTGAATTTGTGAGAAAAATGCATTTATGATATTCTTAAGACATTTTAATGTTTTTCCGAACTTATTCAGAATGAGATAAAAATATAATCGTTTGTGAATATAATAATTTTATACTATACCTGATGACTTCCACAATAATGCCTTTTTGCTTCCGCTTGAGGAAGATGTCGCCGAGTCGATCTCAGAGAGTGAAATATCAAGTCTTGCAGCACTAATTTTATTAGGCGTACTAGTTTTTTTTATAGTAGCATGGCTTTTTTTAACACGTTCACGTTTCAAATTTTTATGTTCCATACAAAAGTTTTGCGACATATTGCCGATCTATATTAAATACTGAAAAAAATTATTTTTCGTAATCTCAATGTTCCCGGTTTCGATGCGTTTACTCGAAGAGCCATTCAACGACTGAGCTTTAATATGCTAAGCCTTGCGAATACTTTCCTCACTACATTTCTTATATCACAGGCATGTAAATACAACCGCGACGTTAATGTTGTCTTTGAATCCTATTTCTCCGAAAAGTAAGTAAACATAAATTGAAACTATATATCTTTGGTAAATTCGTATTCAAGCATAATATTCGTCGTGTAGGAGAGACGGAACGGGAAAACGGAAAACATTTCTTACAAAATTATTTAGGTCTAACTTACGAAATCTTTTCATTCAATTAAACATGTGTTTCAAGAGGAGAAGTTGCGCTGTTTGCTTAAATGCTATTGTTCATAAAATAACTGCAAAATAAGAAAGAATAAAGACTTATACTTGAGAGATATAAACAGATAAAATATTAAATGTTGAAATAAAATTTTCTAAAAAACTTGCAAGCAAATTTAATTATAAAATTGTCTCAAAATTATATCTTTAAATATAAGTTCGTCCATGATATGATCACATACGTGTGCCTAGTCTAAAAATATAATCTTGATTCTAAGTAACAAAGCATTTAAATAAATAAAGTCACGGGAATGGATCGGTGAATATAATGACGGAAATTCTTATATATAGATATAGAGGATTTAATTGCCGAAAAAGAAACAATCTTCGCGTAGCTATAGGAACAACTTGAACAGTGCTTGGAAAAAGATTAACGCTGTCTGTCTTCCGTTTATTACGAACGTATATTCTCTTCCACGGCGGCTTTCGTACGCTTTCGCGGAGTGCAAAATGCGGGCACGGAGACACAATTCAACATATACAGTACGGGGGAGGGTGGGGCAGAAAAAGGGGAGGGGTACAATCATTGTCGCGGTTAAGCGATCTTTTCTCTCGCGTAATGCTTTTTTTTCCCATGGTGCGTGTGGTTATTCAACTGTAAAAGAATATCGATTCTGTACAAGTTGATGAGTTAGAGATAATTAACTACTGAGTCTTCTTGAGGTATCGTTGTTTCTATTGGTCTATATGATCGGAGCTGTGCTCGTCCAAAATCGAATCTGTTTACCGGTTCGTCGGTCTCTGCGTGTTGCAAATTCATGAACATCACCGTGTCAATATACGTTGCAAAGCTCTTATTTGTTTATTATATTTTATCGCGGCAGTATTGTTTGTGGCATTGAATTTCGGACGATCACAGCGGTATCAACGTATGTGTGACTTCCTGTAACAAAATATAAATCTCCATTACGCATCACCCGCTTTCACCATACGATATTTTCCGAATAATAATGCGCTAGCTAGTACCCTAAGTCCAGATGCACCTCCGGCTTTGTAATTGCGCCGAAGAGTAATGTAAAAGTTCAAGTATTTTTGTCTCGTTTTATAATGTCTCGTCGCTGCTGTCGCCGATGCAGACGCGCGCGTGGTCGATCGCGCTCGACCGGATCGCTCGATGGTTAAGCCTAGGGTCACGATGAATAGTCACAAAAATACTTTATCGAATATTTTCTGCAAAATCCGCCCACGAACGTGGTCCGCTCGCTCGTGTGTGTATTTGTCCGTATCTGTGTGTGTATGTGTGTGTGTGGGGGGGGTGTGTTTTACTCATATGCGTGTGCGTAGTATGTATATGCCTATTATGGCAGTCAAAACTCGCAATGTACATTGTATTAAGAATCCGTGCGCGCTCGGCGCAACTTATAGAGTTTCTATTTGTGTTCGATACCGCTCGTAATAGGCGTATGAAAGCCAATTTTTTAACTGCGCGTAATTACTGCAAAAGATTGAAAAGTATCTTTCGCCGGTTTCTTTTTTTTTTTTTCTTTTGTTTTGTTTTATCACCATCTCCCTTCCGTCACGTTTATAAAATCTCAATTACAATAAAGTCTTAACGGCAGACGCAACAGTGCCATATAACTACGAAAGAATCGTATTTAAAACTGAAAGTGTAAGTAAGTACAAATTATTCCTTTTGTCGGTGGTAGAAATGTCAAAGATCACATTGTTTAGCTCCAATGCTGAACATAAGCAACGTCGCGTACGTTCAACACTATTAGCGTGATCGATTATGAATCGGTTTTTCATAGCCCTATAGTTTTCTCCGCTACATGACGTAAACATTCTGTCTACATATGTGCTCAATATATTATGTATAATTCTGCGACACAACATACATCCCTACTTTGACAAATCTACAACACTAGATCAGCGTTCCGTATGTACTCAGGTATTTCGACGCAGCATTCGTTTTGTCGTGACATTATCGCGCGAGAACAGTCTCACCCGTTAAAATGCGCTCGATCTCTCTCTCTCTCTCTCGCTCTCTCTTCGTCCTTCTCGCAATCGCATGCAAAAAAGACCTAATTGTAAAGATTCTATTTTACATCAGTAACATATTACACAAGCGACTTTACATCGCGCCTCCCACGTTAAATACGGTCGGAGGATACACACACGCATTTGTTTCACGTAATTCATTCACTTCGTTCTACTTATAGACTCTATACAATCTTAGCAGCTAAATGCTGTAATTTTTATATATTTATATCTCCGTAATTTAGACATCAGCCCCTGTTGTATTCTAGCGTTACAAAAACGTGGAATTTAAATTGGGTTTTGTCGAATATAACGACCACAGTACATCGATTCTTGTCCAATTTCGTCAAACTATATATAGTTTCTCGAAATACAGGTCACACTTGAAAGAAATTAATTTTCGTTCTTCAATTCCTCCGTCATAAGTCAATCACACCGAGTGTCATAATCGATGTTGCATAAGAGCATCGGAGTGTGCATCAACGAGCGGCTCAATATATCACTTCGTACACGGTGGCTTTCTTGTCGCCGGATCCTGTCACAATGTACTTGTCATCGGTGGAAATATCGCAACTAAGCACCGAGGATGACTCCTTCGACTGGAAAGAAAAACGGAAACGGCTTTATAATCATATTGAATGAGGAATGAGGTAATAATAGAATGATACAAGGTATCGAAAGAAAACTAGCAATTTGTTCGTGTAACAACCAACCTGGAATATCGAAGCACCGTACGGCGTGCGCCACGCATTAAGTAAATTGTCCTTGCCGGTAGAGACGAACCACTTGCCGCACGAAGCGAAGCGTAACGACAGCACGCAAGACTCGTGCAGATGTAACTGATACTTGTCGGGTTTCGTCGCGTGTAGTACCTCGACGTTCGAATTCTCCATACCCACGGCCAACCATTCACCGGTGGGACAATATCCCAGGGAGAATATTTGAGACGTAAAGTCGTGCTGCTGGAGCTGCCTGCCTTCCCGAAGATCCCAGGAGCGCACTGTATTGTCGAGACCGCCTGTCCACAACTTGGAACCGTCGGCGGAGATATCGATACACGAGGCGCCGTCTGTGTGACCTTGAAATTGCCTAACCAACGTCTGATTCTGCAGATCCCATACGGCGATGTTGCCGTCGCTGCAGCAGCTGAAGCACACTTTCGAGTCTGGAGATATCGCCAAGGCGTAACACGCCGGTGCCGAGGAAGTCAATTCGGCCTTGATCCTCGGCGTCGGGCTCGCCAGATCCCAGATGCTGAGGTTACTCGCCTCGCCGCCCACGATGAGAGTTCTGCCATCAGGCAACAGCTTCACCGACCTAATAATACAGAGAGAGAGAGAGAGAGAGAGCAATGAGTGTGTGTTGCGTTAATCCGGTTAAACGCCGCCATTTATGCGTGCTTTTAAATAATTATTACGCTCACGCGCGTTGGTACGCGGCGGGACGGGCGGATGATGAGGGGGAAGGAGGGGAAGAAGGGGTAAATGCATACGGAAAATGCATGCGGTAAATCGATGCCGCGCGCTGCTTCGGCGTGATATACAGCCGGCGGACACGGCTAAATGTCATCCAGAATTCAGTCGGAAATTAATTACATCGACCGCATATAGCGTTTGGGAGTTAATGTGTCACGAATTGCGAATGAAGACACGTGTTACCATCACCGACCTGATGTAGTTGTCCCGTTGCAGGCAATCGAGCTGGGAGACGGGTTTCGCGCTGCCGCTACCACCCTGGCTGATGTCCCACACCTTGACGCAGCCCTTGCCGCCGGTGTAAACGTATTTAGTGGGATTCGAAATTGTCACGGCGCAGACCACTTCGCCGTGTGTGAGTGTGTTTATTTGACGTGCGTGACGCGGTATGCCGGGGCCGATAAGAGCGTCCTGTGGGAACGGCACCGGCTGCATCTGCCCTTCACTAGACACGTGAAAACTGTACGCACTGCTACGAGAAAAGAGATTATCCCGTAAAAGTTACGATACATCGTCGAGTCGTAATAAGCGACGGAACGGCACGAAGCAATTTATTATGAAGAGAAAAACACTCACGGCTTGCCACCGGGAACACCTAGCGGTCCGAGTGGCGCTCTCATGCTCGCATGAGGATCGTAAAGCTGTTGAAGAGGTGGTCTCGCGGGATACCCGTTGAGCGCAGCCGGAGGATAGCCCAGCATATCCACGTGAGGCGGTCCCGCGGACGGATGATGCGGTGGCGGATAATGCGGCGGATAAGGTCCGACTACCGAGGCTGAAACCAACGGTTTGCTGGAACTAGACGGTTTCAGACCACCGGAGCCAGAACTGCTGCCACCTGTCGTCAATCGATTCAGTTATTTTCTCGGCCATTGCTTTTTCAAAAATATCTTTAGCATATTTTACTTTCTAATTAATCACAAATATCACACAGCGCAATCGATCGAACCTGCAGACGTAGGTGTGACCGGTTTCGAGATCGGCGTAGTCGGTTTTTCGCGTTCTTCCATCTTCTTGGCGGAAGGAGTGCTGGCGTTGCTGCTGGTGCCGCTTCTAGGCGACGGCGGTGGCACTTCTTTCTTCACCTGGCCGCTCAGAGGCACCGAGGACGGGCCCAGCTTATCGAGACCGTTTTCCCGCGGTGACGCCGTGCCGTTCGCCGCCGGGCTCGTCGGGCCCTCGCTCGCATCGTCGACCACCAGGTCCTGGTCGCTCTTTTCACCATCGCTTTGCTGTCGGGGAGAACACGCACCACTTTATTAAGCCGGCCAGCGACTCGCGGAGCATGGAGCACTAATCTTGGATACTTACATGGCCTATGTCCTTGTCGTGCTCCTTCTTCATCTTCTTACTCATGTGCAAATGATCGTGCTGAGGATCGGGTGTGCTGCGCGGCCTGTACTTTTCTCGTTCCGCCGGCGATATCGAGTTCCTCTGCAACACAGATCGTTCAGCGTTAAGATCTCCACGGTCGTTAAACGCGCGCTAACGTTACGATTTTTATAGAATCTCTTATCAACGCGAGGGAGAAAAAGAGATACGGAGAGATCCACTCTCCCGTCCCACGCGGTTAATCCGATTACGGCGATTCACGGGATTTATTCGTCCGGGATTTTTACGGACCGCGTGATTCTACCTTCTCGATAGATTTTCACGGAAAAGTATCGGATGAGGGACTTCTTGCGGCCGAAGGAATAGAGTAGACGGAGGGTCGAACGACGGAATTCTTTCCTTCCTCTGTCGCGATTAAATAAAACGACTCTCCCGTCGGACGGGCGGCGGAAGAGGCATCGACGGAATTACTTATCCCTTGGCCCGCTCGACCTCCATTCGCTCCGAGGCGAACGAAGAATAATAGGGTGGATCGCAGAGTTCTGCTTTTTTCTATCGCACTATGCACCGAGCGCCGAGAAAATATCGACGCGTTCGTTTCCGAACGGGCAAAAACACGCCAATATATATACGGGATGTCTCCAGCTCTTCGCATTTACCGAATTCAGTTTTATTTCATCGCTCAGTAATCGCTTCTACAAATTAAAATCAAATTTTTCAAATACACCAATATCTAACGCGGAGATGGCTTATCGCGACTTCTCTGTATTCATTTTCAACAATAAGGTAAAAAAATCAAAAAAGTAGAATTATTACTTCTGAAGGCTGAAGACTCTAGAACTTATCGAGCGTCATCCAGAACTCTTATCGTTCTTCTTTTTTTTTTCGAATTCTGAAAAAGTGAAGCACACTTCACTTGAAATTATCAAGGGATGAGAATATTTAAAATACGGAAAAACCTTTTCAAAAATGCATCGCTCAAGAGCTGGCCGAGTGAAAGACTCGGCGCGGTTCTTCAAGTCGACGATATCATCGAGAAGGGAAGTTTTACAAGCGACAGTTTCGTCGTCGATACGGTCGGCACGACAGCGTCCGCATGCCTTCGTATATATAAGTGCGACGGCCCTTTCCCTGTCCCCGATAACTGCGCACCCCATCTTGCAACCTCGTAAACTACCCCCGTCGCGTCTCCACACGGGCACACACCGGCGTCGTCGCCACCGCCGTTGCCGATGTCGAAGTAAATCTCCTCTTCTCAATTACCCTTCGTCCCTCATCCACTACTACCAACGCTCGCCTCTCTCGCCCTCTCGGTCCATTACTTCGACGCCTCGACGGTATCATCGACCCGAAACACTTCGAATGGCAAGAAATAAAAAATAGAATCTCGAGAGATACGAATGCGCTCGCGAACACCACTGAGCGATTGACGCGCGAAATTACGTATAATCCGGTGTAATTCGCAAAAGCAGCCAGCGAATAAACAAAATGTTATCGTTCTATTAAAAAAAAAAAAAAAAAAACAAGAATTCTTTATCATACGAATAACTCTGTTGAATAATAATGCCAAATGGAGCATTCTTCCGCTGTTATCAGTGCGATCGCCAGAGAAGAGCTTTTTGAAAGCAGAATCGTTGCACAGTGGTCGCACCAATTTCAAAAGCCGATGGAAAAATCGTTCGGAAGAACGTCGGCGAACGAATATGAAATCCCGTGACGTGGAAAAATCAGGCAAGCATGTTCTTCGTTTGCCACGACGATGTAGCGACGGGAGGAAGAGCAAAAGGAAGACAAAGGCGAAAGGAAGGGTGAGGGCGGGGGTTAAGTCCCGCAAACACGCGCTCCGCTCACGTCATGAAAGATTCTCGGAAGAAAAGAATCTCCCAGGAGCCGTATTACGTGCCTCTTTCGAGTTTTCTTCGCGAAAGAACCCCGGGAGAGAAAGAACGAGATCTTTTTCCACCGAAGGAGAGTAGTCCTCTCGTTACCCGGAAACGGTCGGTCACTGCTTATCCGAAGCCGGAGTCGTCTAAAGAGATGAAACGACTGTCG